AGAACCCATAACAATTTACGTTGATAACAAGGCTGCAATCATGTTAATGAAGAATCCAGTGTTCCATGGGAGAAGTAAGCATATTGACACTCGATATCATTTCATTCGTGAATGTGTTGAGAAAGAGCTGGTCAGGATTGAGCATGTAAGTGGTGACGAGCAGAAAGCTGATATCTTGACTAAAGCATTACCAAGGGTCAAGTTTATCGAGATGAGGCAACTGATGGGCATTGAAGATTTGGCAGGAATGAGGACTGGAATCAAGGGGGTGAATGTTGGTTAATTCCAGTCCAGAATATAGTTTAAGTTTAAAAATAAATAAGTAAAAAAAAAAAGGTAGACAGTTAGGCAGTTACTAGTTACAGGCAGTTTTATGACAGTTTCCAACAGATGTGTTGGTTAGAAACTGTTGTGTCTATTTGTAATGGTTGTGTTGTTTAGTCCTCTATTTATATGTATGGGCACATTGTTCTGGACAGCAGTTCCACAATAAAAACACACTGTTTCTATACTTTAGATCTGTCATTATTTCTCTCAAAGCAGACGGGTGCAGCAGCGGAAGAAGGTGAGGTCAGGCCAACATTCTCCGGCACTAATCGACATCAAAACATACATTCCAGGGACATCATTACAAATCCAGCGATGCAGCGGCATTCATTATCTAGGTGTCAAGGTCCGTGCAAATTGTTTCAATGACTTTATATACACTGAGACAAATACCCCCATTAAGAAGCCAATGGAAGGTTATAGATTATCTTTTCACTTCCGTGTTCAAGTTCATCCTTGATGCATCTAACTATTTGTTGACATGAACAAGTTTGTTCATGTCTTCTTGCTTCAGGCTAGAACCAAAAATATAGAACAAATTGAGCTCCACTTGGAATCGAGAGACAAGGTACAAAACTAAGTTGGAATTTATACTTTTAAGATTTTTTTAAAAGCTTAGTTCATTATAATGTGTTCTGCGTGAAATATGGAGAACTAAACAATTAGCCCTCAAATGCAAATTATTTAGCTCACAAATTCAGTTTTTCTCTGCCATTAGTTGAAAAAAATCTTCAAGAAATTCATCATATGATACCTGATCTTGAAGAAAGAAGCAATTGAAACAACAGAAGGAAATGAATCCTCTTCTTTACCGTCGTAGTGAGAATAAGTTCCCTAAATACCAAACTCACTCTTTAGTGTTACACAAAAGATATCTAATGGGTGGGGGGTTTGACACTGTGTACAATTGTATATTAACAAAAAGTACTCCGTATATCACTAGGTTCAAGTAGTTGTGTTATTTTCATGTTCGTATCATATTTCAGTTCACCATTCTTTTACCTTTTGAGTTAAACACAACCAAGTACTTTTTGGATTTTACATTACTTTAATTTTTACTTAAAAAAAGTAATTTAATCAATTTGTATTATAATTATAATAACTTCATATAATCTGGTGGTGTGCAGCGACAGTGCAACAGTCACCGATAGCCACCTAGAGCTTAACCAGTGCAGATCAAACAACATCAACTAAAGCCAACTAAGTTGTAAATCCAACACCAAAACAGGTTCGTTATGTGAATCTTCATGCAGATTTGTTTCCTATTGGTTATGGTATTGTTAATGAAATGCTTTTTCCAACACCTCATGAAGAATGACGAAAGAGGATAATTGGATTCATAGAGAAACCAAAAGGAGAACAACTCAGATTTACTAAGCTAAAAAAGAAAAAAAATCAAAGTTGTTCATGTAGGTATTAACTAGATATTCATTGGAGTGTTTTAGTCAAGACCTCAAAATTGAATCATTTGATCATTTTTTGTTTTTAGGAATCAAAAGTTTGGTCTCTTTGGAGGATGGGGGACTGAGGAAAGACTGCTACGTAGCATTTCTATGCATTAAATGAACTCAATGTACATTCATGATTGTGAAGCTGATTAGTACAAGGATTGGATTGAAGTCAGTGAACTCATTATTTGTTCAACTGGAGTCTGGAGTATCAATGTATCAATGTCGGACTTTCGTTTTCTACTTAGTGTACTTTGCATATAATGTTTTGAAACCTTGTTTATTGTAATAAGAATTTCTCTTTTTGCTCTCATGAGTGCTTATTAGCTTCACGTTTATATCTTGAAAATCAGTAGTTTTTCATTCATGGTCAAGCCGGTCAAATATACTCCAATATAGGCTTTTTCCACAAGCACATATGTATAACAGGTAGTTAATATCTTCATCTGCATTGTTAAAACTAATCCAACAAAGCCAATTATCACTAATTTTATGATAATCTATATGCTTTATGAGCATGTCCTTTTGTTCCCTTATCAATTTTTCTTTTCCTACTAAAAATATTGTTAAAAAATAATATTTTAATTTTTTTTTCAAATTTTTCTCCATGCATATTTACGTTTTTGAGCATATTTAGTGACAGGTTTTAATGGAGTTGCTTCACCTAAAAAAAGGTGATGTAGAACTTATTTGGAACACATGTGGGTGCTGCTTCAATTTTCCAAGGAATTGCTTTGTGAAACATCTGTATATTAGCTACGAACTCCCTTGTGAACTTGCCACTAAATATACTCTTAGCAACCAATAAAGACACTTTTTATCTTCTGCTTTTCAAGTAATCATTATTAATATAGTATTAATTTTTTATTTTTTAAGAGGGTGGGTGGGGGAAATGAACTTGAGGAATTAGAGTACTCGAAGATTGAGTAGGAAAATGAACTTTAATCTAAAACAACTGATAGTCATTTTTTCCTCTATGAGAAAAATATTTTTACAAAAAAATCTAATAATTTTTTATTTACGTTGCATATATGCAATGTAACATAACAAATTATTGGATTTTTTTTTGTAAAAATATTATTCTCTTAACCAAACATATCCTAAGAACTATAATCCAAAAGAATAAAACCTTAAAAAATTTAGAATTGACAAAAAAATTGCTAAACCCCGTGCGTTGCACGGGTTAAATACTAATATAAGAATATAAAGATCATATTCTAGAAGAAACAAAGAGATCATCTTCTTCAAGGCAAAGGAATAGAAATCAAGTGACATTCAAGGCTTATGACTTTTTATTAGACTTGGTAATTCATTTTATGGATTTTGGAACTTATTCTTTGATATTGTACATGACTTCTTGAAATTATGATATTGTATAATGTTTGAATATTATATTTGGATTTCCCTATGTTGTTTGTATATAGTATTTGGAATATAATATTTTTTTTTTTTAAAAAATTAGAGGCGGAGTTTCCCCCCTCTAATGCAGCAGATATGTAGCGGCGGAGAAGTCCCCCTCTATTATAGAGTCGGAAAAATCCCCTTCTAATTTAGCGGCCGAAAATTTCGCCTCTAATTTAGAGGCGGAATATTCCGCCCCTAAAAATAGCAGCAGCGTGTTTAGCGGCAAAAGGGATTCCGCCTCTATTTCCCCGCTAAATCTTAATTAGAGGCGGATTCTGTACAATTAGAGGGGAACTTGTCTCCCTCTGTTTGCAATTTTTTTAGTAGTGATCACTCTCCCCAAAATCTATTATTTGTGTCAAAATCGGTATTACTTAGTACACCAAGCCTTTTTGAATAAAAGAGGAGTATGATTGGGCCTTGGGGAACCCCAAGTTTGAGAAATACATTTTATTTGTAATGTTTTGAATATTTTATACATTAAGAATTGATTTTTTTATTTTTTGGGATTCTCATTGCCCGTCATTTGCTTTGCTTGTAGCCAATTATAACATATTAATATGTCCGCAGGCAGTTTAAAGGGTCTTGAGAGAGAATTGTTAAGTCTGGGATCAAAAGATCGTTTCCTAAGAGCAGCAATGTGGAAGTTTTTACTCAATGTGATTTGATCTAAATCTTATAGATCTAATATGTATTTTTTAGTCTAATATGATTTGTATTTGGAAAAATTACCCAAAATAATCCCAACTTTACCCGGTCTTTCAAAAATAATCCCACCTTTCACTGTGATGCAAATAATCCCAACTTTATTGAAATTTGTCAGTTTTGGGTCGCCGTTAAGTTTCTAACGGAGGGTTAACGGAAATGCCCATTTTAGGCAACAAAATGAAAGTTGGGATTATTTTTGATGAATTTTTGTTTTTTATTTTTTTTGAATTTTTTATTTAAATTTTTTGAATTACTTTCAACCTCCATTTCTTTTTCTTTTTTTTAAATATTATTCTCACCTTAGAAAAAAAATAGATATAAAAAAATAATAAAAATGAGAAAAATAACTAAAACCATACAAAATTAATCAAATAAATAATGTAATCAATAGAAATTAAACAGAAACTGGTAAGAAATAAAATAAATATATACGGAGGGGTGGGTTTTAACATTTTACACGCTATATGGAGTCTTAATGTACTACTTATTTTTTAAAAGAACAAGCCGTCCGGTAAAGTTAGAATTATTGTAGATAATTTTTTCTAAAAAATAAGAAGTGATATGTTAATACTTTGTATAATGCGTAAAATATTAAAACCCACCCGTGTATTTTTTATTTTACTTTTACCAATTTCAAGTTAGTTTCCATTGATTACCTTATTTATTTTATTACTACGTATTTTTGAATCATTTTAGTTACGTTTCTTATTTTTTCATTTTTATATCTATTATTTTTATTTTTTAAACTAAGACTAATCTTTAAAAAAGGAAAAAGAAATGATGGTGGAGGTAGAAAGTAATTTAAAAAATTTAAATGAAAAATTTTAAAAAAATAAAAAAAAATGAAAATTCATCAAAAATAATCCCAACTTTCATTTTGTTGCCTAAAACGGGCATTTCCGTTAAACCTCCGTTAGAAACTTAACGGCGACCCAAAACTGGCAAATTTCAGTAAAGTTGGAATTATAATGCATCACAGTGAAAGCTGGGATTATTTTTAAAAGACCGGGTAAAGTTGGGATTATTTTGGGTAATTTTTCCTTTGTATTGGTATCTAACTAAAGTTAAAACTATTTTTATCTAATTTGATTTGAATCTTTCTAATCTGATTTTAATGAAAATATGTAATAAGTAAAAAAATGTTAAAAAGAATGGATACTTAGACTTTCATATTCACCATGCAAATCAAAGAAGTTGATCTCATAGTGAAGTCATTAGACTTGCTCCATCACATAGGTGTTACATATCTAATTTGGATAAAAAGCTGATGAGAGCAAAAATTTAGAATAACCTTGTACCCTTCTACTCATAAGTCATATCAAGATGGTACAATATTGACGTGTTTCTTCCGTCCCAAATTTGATTACAATTTCTTATTCACAGAGTAAAATTCATATTTTTAAAAGAAGAACTTTTTATATAAAAGTAAAAAACTATGAAAAATATTAAATAAGAGTTCTGAGTCTTTCAGATCGAAATAAGAGTTCATACTGGCATTATTACAGTGTTACACTCGTCACATTGTCACACTGTAATTGTCACACTATCACTGTCACAATGTCATCATCGCTTCTCTTCCTTGACTCTTAGAAAATAATTTTAGTACTCCCTCCGTCCCCCTGTATTTGTCCACTTTCATTTTTACACACCATCCAATGCACTTCTTTAATCCATTTTATCTTGTAATTTGTATATTAAAAAATTATAAAAATTATATATTAATAATCTATATGTTAAGACAAATCAAACAAGATCACACATGACTATATTTAGACTTACATATTGAGAGAATTTGATGAGTCAAAGTGCTAAGATGAACAGTTCTAAAAGTCAAATGTGGACAAATACAAGGGGACGGAGGGAGTAGTAAATATAGTCAATATTTGTAATGTATGGTAGATGGAAAATGCTAAAGGTACCCCAAGTGGTGTACCTCATTTGTACACTAAAGGATTTACAAACATTCAATGTTTGTGTATGCATTGACATTGAGTATCCGAGTGTGTCTGTAAATCCATTAATGTACAAATGAGGTACACCACTTCGAATACCCATGTGTCTATAAAATATTCTTGTCATGTTAATTAAATACTACTCGTCTACTCTGTATGTTTTCAATAGAAATCACCCTAAATAAGACTAAAACATAGAAAAAGTACAAAAATAGGAGTTCCATGTTATAATTCTCGAAATAAGACTTCGTATTGTGGTAACGTGGCTGTAATGTGGCACTGTACAGATGCACATTAAATTACTATACTTTTTGGTAATGTACCTGACCATGTTTGGTAATTTAAATGCATTTTATTAATTCTTATTTCGGGAATAAAAACAAAGAAGCCATATTTTAATACTCCCTCCGTTCCCTTTAAACACTTCCTATTTTGACTTTGGAGCAAAATAAGAAAAGAGTAGTTTTGGTTGACCTTCCAATTTTGCCCCTGATGTGATGGGTAAAAGTAAGATATGATAATTTAGATATTAGTAAAAAAGTATAATGTGATAGATAGAGTATAAAAAAGTAGGGGTAAAAGTAGCTTTTTGATATAAAGTGAGGGTGTTTTAGGGAATTGGAAAAAAACAAAAGGGAAAAGTTTTATGGAATGGGGGAATATATTTTTATTTTTTAATGTTTCACTCATATTTTAGTATTTTTCCGTGTTTTCAAACCAATATATTTATTGTATCACGGCACCTGCATGAGTCATGGCAAAGCAAAGAGACATTATTATTCATTTTGTGCAAAGTGCAAACAAGCCAATTTCTAACTTTCTATCTGTCGCCTTTTCTTTTTTCTTCCCTCACATGAATTTGGAAAAAAGAAAAAAAGAAATGTATTCAATGCACACGTTTTTAGTAAATTAAATCAGCAAGTTAATTAATAATCTCCTTACTCAGCACTTGTGTGGCTAACCAAAATTTCAGATCTCAAAGTTTCTTTTTGGGGTTCTTGTGAACACTACTTTTTAAAATAGTAGTGATTAAAGATGATTTAGGATTTGTTCTTTTTCATCTTAATTTTATTAAATATTTTTTCAGGCTCAACATAATATGTAATCGTCTACATTTGATTTGCCAAAACATTTAACATTAATAAGGTCGTATGTTTGAAAGTGATATAATAGAGAAAAGATACTCCCTCCGTCTTAAAAAGATTATCACACTTTACTATTCAAAAATCACGGAAATTTTTGTTTATTTATTCTTTTCCAATGATTATTTGATAAAATAAAACATTCTAGTCACATCTTATTTTGTAGATCTTTTGACGTAGTTTTTAAACATGTAATTTTTATTTTTTCAATACCAATGTTTAAATAAAATGGATTGAAAAAATTCAAAAATTTGTTTCGTTTAACGTAATGTTATAATTTTTTTGGGACGAAGGAAGTAAAACATACAGAGTATGAGCCATAAGAACCTTTCCAAATATGGAAATAGGGTTTTAATTTTTTTGACTTTTCAAAAAAGAAACAAGGACTATTATTTCAGAAAAAAGAGAGTATAAGTCTATAATAGTATGGTAATTGGAAATTTGGAGTATACACCATTCCTGCCAAATAATTTTTCATTTTTACTTTTGGATTGTCCCGAATAAATTTTTGTTCCATAATATAAAAATAGCAAATCAAACAGACCCGAGTTGCATAAAAAGTAAAATGAAAATAACAAATTATGATTGGAAATGAAACAAAAAATGTTTGCTACTCCCTCCGTTCCACAAAACCCTTTCTCTTTCGTTTTTTTACTTTCCACAAAACACTTCCACTTTCTATTAAAAAACCACTTTTACCCCTACTTTTTCATACCCTACCTATCACATCATACTTTTTCACTAATAACCAAACTATCACATCTTATTTTTTCCCATCACATCAGGGGCAAAATTGGAAAGTCAACCAAAATTACATTTTTCTTATATTTCCCCAAAGTCAAAACCGGAAAGGTTTTGTGGAACGGAGGGAGTATAATATTATTCACTTGTTATAATATAAAAATAGTAAATCTATATAAGAGACATGGTTTGGACTTTGGATGCTCTTAGGTATTTCTCTCTTGCACTAATTTTAACCAAAATTTGAAAAGTGGAGTCTCTACAAACTTTAACCAAAGAGTATGTGGTAACTGAAATTCGGAGTCCTAGAAACTAAATTTATTTTAAAAGTTGAAAAAAGGAAAAAATAAAATAAAAACTCAAGAAGAATTTACCACCAAAGCATGGGTATGTAATTGAAATTATAAATGTGATTCCATGTTCATCTAAATTTTCCCAAGATTTAAAATAAAAAAAACAGAAAACCCATATACCTCAAAATATCAAATCTGAATCTCCCAATTCCCACACTATGAATTTATGAATGCCTTCATCCCCTTCATCATTCTTCTTCTTCTTCTTCAATGGGGTCTAAGAACACAAGCATCTAAAATGGCAGACATCCCATCAATCCTACTAACATCATCATCATCATCATCATCATCATGAGGGGCAGGAAGATTAAGATCCACTATGAAGATTCCTGCAGAAGTTCTTGGCACCCTTTGGTCCTCCTCAGCAACATCCATGGCAGTTGATGAAGAAGTAGCAGAGGCTGAAATGTCCAAAATACCCCCGCCGCTGAAATGCGATCTCTTGTGCCCACCCAATGCCTGCCCTGACGAAAACACCCTTCCACACAAAGGGCACTCGTGGGTATCTTCAATCGTTTCTTGATCATCACCTGAATTCCCAATTTTGCCCTTCATCGTCATCTTCTTCTTCTTGTTGTGGCTTGCTCTGTGCCCTCCCAGTGCTTGATATGATCTGAACACTCTCCCGCAACTCTCGCATCTGAATTTCCCCTTTTGCCCTTCACCTTCGCCTCGGTTTGTCCAGTGGTCTCTGGACAGAAGAATCAGGCAGTGGGCGCCGTCTTCTTCAGGGGAAGAATCCGTGACGGAGGAGCTCACCGGCGACGAATCGCCGGCGGCACCCATTGCTAGGAAGCTCGGAATAACTCTGGGTTTCGTGAGGCGGCGCCGCTTGGATCGCCGGAACCTGCGCGGCGGCGGAGGCGACGGCTCCTCCTCTGCTCCGTCGTCTTGAAGAACCATGGAATCCTCTGTCTCGGCCGGGGGAAGATTGATCATGACATGAGATCTCATGTGGCCGCGGAGAGACTTGCCATTGGAGAATTCTCTGGAACACAGCTTGCATCTGTGATTATCTTCCATTGTTGCCTGGTTTTTTGTGTGATTCATTCATGAAATCAGTGTGTCTTTTTCTTTCTTTTTCCCTCAGCTTTCTTTAATCTGGAGAAGAAGAGCAGAAAAAGGGGAACAGAAAAGGAGTAGGTGACAAGCAAGCATTTGTCTTCCATGCCATGTGTTATATATATATATATATATATATATATATATAGATTTTGGTTCAAGTGAGAATGCAATCTTATGAAAGAAATAAGAATGAATCTGGTGCTTTAGATTGAGAGATCTAAGGGTCAGGATTCCATCAAAATTAGGTGCACCAAAATGGTTTGAAAATGCATCATGTCGAAATGCACCAAAATCCTTTAAAAATGCACTATCTCAAAATCTGAGTGCAGGATGCAATCTGAGCCGCACGATGCATCAGATCCAAAGGCTAGATTTTATTCTTATTTCTTTCACCAAGGTGCATTCTCACTTGAACCACCCCCTATATATATATATATATATATATATATATATAAACTTTAAAATATCTCATTTTGGATGTCTAAAAAATAATTTTATATACTTGGGTATTTTTTTCTATATTAATTTTTACTTCGTCATATATCTTTTTTTGCACTTCGTATTTTGGTGGTCAATGTTTTCTGAACTTTGATAACAAGTTATGAAAAAATTACATTATTTATGATGTAAATTTGATGCCAATGGATTAATTTTGAAACGTAACATTGTTTTGAAATATTGTATTTTTATAATATATGTCAACATATACCAATTGAAGACCGTAAAAAGTTGAAATTAAAAAAAAAGATATGGAACGGATGATGGAGTATTGTGGACCACTAGCCAATGGTGGTCAGGGCGGAGCTTCATACCTCTTGTGGCAATGGATGAAGACTAGTATATTCCTCCCTCAATTCCTAAAAAAAAAACTTTTTTTTTTAGTTTTTTTGGTCAATTGTCAAAACATTTTGATCATTAATAATTATTCTCCCATCCAAAAAAAAGAGTTCATAATTTGATTTGGTATAAATTTTTAAGAAAATTAAACTTCTGTAGTTGAAAGTGATGTGGAGAGAAAACGGTAGTGAGCTATAAAAAAATTTCAAAAATGAATAGAGAAGTTTTTTGGATTGAATATAAATAAATAAATAAATATTAGTAAAATTTGATACATCAAAATTGGTAATAAATATGAGTAAAATTTTTACAATGTATAGTAAAAATTGGTAAAATCTAACTGAAAATAATAAAATTGGGAAGACTGTTTTTTGGAGGGTGCATACTATAAAATGGGATTTTGAAAAGAATAGAAGAAAGAAGAAAATTGGGACTGGCAATTAGTGGAATGGATTTAGTTTTTTTTTTTGTCAAAACGGCAAAAGAGAATTAATTAAGAGGTTGACAAAAAACTCCCAATAAAAGCAGAGGGAGAGGACATGTAACATGCGATCCCAAACATTTAATTGCATTATTTAATTTGCATCCCAACTTTCAGGATTTCTAATTTTTTTTAATTACTCATTCGACAAACTGAATTAGCAAAAAAAAAAAAAGATTCCCACACTCTTCACTCAAAGTTGTAAAGCAAACTTAATTTAGATTGTCAAGTCCGCAATATATATCGTACAACCGGTTGTACGGTGTTTTTCGTACATCCGCAGAGAGTAATCATTTACGAGCAGCTGAATACTCATTTTCGAGCAAATAAATACTTATATTTGAGTAACTGTATACTAATTTTTGTAAAACCCAGTTATGCTTGAAAATGAATATTCAGTTATTCAATACTCCGTAATAAGTATTCTATTACTCGAAAATGAACATTCATGCAGATGTATAAAAAATACTGTACATCCGAATGTATTGTATATGTGCTCTCTGAAGTAATATGTTATTCAATGTATAATATTCGAAAAATCTTTTTGTTTTCCCATATCAACTGTCTAAGTTCTCATTGTATTTTGAAGAAGAAAAATATGAGTAGATCACATTACTCCACTCTCCTCTATATAAATCTACTATACTATTTTATTTTATTTTTTTTAAATTTCGTGATAAAAAAGAAATAAGAACTTTTTCTAGAGACAAAAGTGATTGATAATTAGCTCAAAAAAGACCATCCTTTTTAAAATTGCAAAACTAACCTTGTGTGTAGTGACTAGTGATAAAGTTCTCAACCTTGCGTGCCAGTGTTTAGCTTATTCGTTTTACTTTATTTTATTATTGACTTATGAGAGGCAAACTCTTATTTCCCCCTAGTAAATTTTTTACTTATTACGGAGTATTAAGATAGATATTTATCTGATTTATTTGTGTAAACATATAATTAAGATAAGTATTTACTTGATCTAGTTTTTTTAAAAATTTATTTTAGATGAGCTTACTTCAGGAGTAACTCTACATTTGAGTATAGAGTAGTCCGTATATTTTTTGGATTAATTAACTGTTTGGGACAGTTATTTTTTTGATGTTAGACCACAGGTGTTCTTAAATCGTCTGCAAAATTCAACTGATCCTCCTATTTGCAGATTAAGGCCAAAAGATTTTGGGACAGGTGTTAGGACACTTTTAATTTTGAATACTGAAAGTTACTCCATATGATTTTTTAATTAATTATGTAATCCGTAAAAAATAAGTGTACTTTTATTATGGGATGTACTCCTTAGGTCTCATTTTAAGTTGTCTGTTATTTTTTCAATATTTGACTGAAGTTATTTCTAAATGAACTTAGAAAATCTATTTAAATAGGACTAAAATAATTCACCGGCATAAGTTAGATAAGAAAAAAAATAAGCAAGCAACTTAAAATAAAATAGGGAGGGTATGGCTTAAGATAAAATGCAAAATAAAAAAATATGAGAAAATATATTTCAAAAACATACTTTCAATATTTTCACAATGATCATCCTTTTTTTTCATTTACAATTCTATATCTATAAGTTAATGTCATCGATAAATCTATACTTTGATTAATTAGGTAAAAGACCCTATCATTATGAAAAATCCAAATTCATTGTTTTCAATTTATGTACCCTTGCATGTTTAAAGCCATGTGCTAGATGATGGAAGGGAGAAACGTGAAAGCAAAATGCTTTTTTTTGGGATTGAAATTCTAAAGTTAGATGTTAGAAAAAATTTGAAAGAATTAGAAGAAAGAGAAAAATGTTGAAAAAAATTAGAAGAAATTAAAAAATATTATAAAAATTTAAGTGTAAAAAATTCAATTAATTAAATGAGCACCCAAATTAATATGCAAGAAAACTAATTTTGAATAAAAAAAAAATAGAAATCATTTTAAATAGGACTAAAACATAGAGAAAAGTACCAAAATAAAACTTTCATGTTTTTTTTCCCGAAATAGGACTTTACACTGTAGTAATGTGACTTTGCATTGTGGTAATGTGGCAGTGTACATGTGCACATTACTATACTTTTTTGGTAATGTATATAACCATGTTTGGTAATGTAAGTCCCATTTCGGGAATAAAAACATGAAAGTCCTATTTTGTTATATTTTCAATGTTTTAGTGCTACTATGGTCTTTCTCCCTAAAAAAAAACTATCTTTGTAAGCACCTCACCTCACCAAGGAAGCCGCGGTGTGGCACAGATGAATGTCAAACAGGGAGAGGGGGAGGAAGGAGAGTGCGAGGGAGAAAGAAGAGAGCGAGCCGTTTGGAAAATTCATGGCGGCCAAGCTGAAATTCCCAATTACCAAACCGGAGGGGAGGCGGTGCCGCTTGGTGCCTAGGCGGCCTGCCGGCCTCCCACCAATCCGTTTGCCCACACCACACCCCATAGTCTTACGCTTGGTCTAACTCATGGTGGACACACAAGAAAACGAATAATAAGATGACAACTCTAGGCGGCAATCACTAAAGGCATCTTGGGCAACAACGTTAGAAGTTAAGGTTGGAGTTTTAAAAACACTACCTAACGACAACGTTTAGCTTTTGCGCTTTTAAAACTAATCGAAGACGCATTCCCTAAACAAGACCTAAGTTAATTCATATTTTAATACTCCCTCCGTCCCTCGGTGTATTTGTCCACTTTTGAGTAATTAGTAAACTTTGATCTCAAATTAAATACAAATGATATTAGATATTGATACAAAAATAATTTTATTAGATTTATTATATGAAGTATTTTTAAAATATTATTTTATCTAATTAATACACAATATATATTTCATTTAATAAAAATTCAAAGATTGAAAACGGTTTACTGAAAAAAGTCAAAACTAGACGAATACCCAGAGACGGAGGTAGTATTTACCATCCAAAATTAATATCCCACATGAATAGTAATTTTTGGAGTGTACATACAAGCAATATAGTGTTAAACTATTAATTCCCATAACAAGAAAGGCAAACATAAGATTCTATGGGTGCCATTGCTAAGGCAAAAACAAAATGCTAAGAGATGCAAGTAGCCACCCATTAATGTGCAGGTCTCATGTGAGTTTTCATATATAGAAGTGACATGACTTGCCCTACTTTTATCTCCTTTTTATGTCATTTCTACAAAATTTGCATTAACTTGATCACTTACCTTTCCGGTCGCTTTGCCAAACAAAGCTTTATATACGTACAAACACCTGAAGCACATAAGAAAACATTAGGATCTCTCTTAAACCAACTTTACCCAGATTCTCTTAAAAGTTAAACGAATATGCATTCTCATGGTTCACAAGTTTTGTACACAAGGGGGAGAGAAATGGAGGCGCCACACACTTGGAACTATGAAGGGAAAATGTCTTCGAAGAACGGGCGGATGTCTCCTCCATTCATTACATCAAAGGCTAACAACTTCTCCACTGCTTCCTGCATTTCATTGCATTTAAGTTTGAAGTTTGGTTTGATGGTTTTTTTTTGTTTAAATAATTTTGATTTGAAGTTTTATACTCCCTCCGTTCCAAAAAGAATTATACTCTTCAATCTTCACTATTCAAAAGTCACGGAAACTTTTGTTTATTTGTGCGTTTTGATTGATTATTTGATAAAATAATTTTATTCCGGTCACCTCTTGTTTTGTAGAACTTTTGACGTAGTTTTTAAATATGTAAATTTTATTTTTATTTTCTATATCAATCTTTAAATAAAATGAGTTTTTTTTTTAAACTTAAAATTTGACTTCGTTTTGCGTTAACTGTAAAACATTTTGGGACGTAGGAAGCATGATAAAATTAATTGGTCATAAAAAAATGTATATCACTACCTTACAAAGCTGGTCATGAACCAATATATTCTCACTGCAGAGCCGCTCAACATGCCTGTCATTCTTCAGAGCATCCAAAATGACCGCTGCTCGTTTCACGACTTCCTGGGGGATTCCTGAATTTATAACATTATAATTTAAACTTTTAGTGAAGCTGTTAAAGGATCTGAGTGCGTTCGGGTGTAAATTTAAACTTTGAACTATTGATGCTAAGAGAGTTCAAATCGTCGGGGAGGAAAAGTCGGACTAGTTGGGGGAGCTGGAGTAGGAAAAAGAGGTGTGTGTTTGTATGAAGGAAAGTTTTCTAGGAATACCTGCAAGCAGTGCACAGTGTAATCCTACATGAAATTGAAATTGTATCAGTCACAGTAAGACACTAAGACCCCTAGCAAATATGCACTCTTAATACTCGAAATGTTTAAAGTCTTTTGACACATACCAAAGCTGAGAGGTGCCCGTCCAGGAACCAGCCTACAGATATTAGGAATGGAAGGTCATTTTCATACATAGATTATCTTGCCAATATCATACAAAACAAATCCTGAACCGTCTGATCAAATTTTTGAATATTGATTTGTAAATTGGTTCATGCCGTACGATTCAAAAGCATTATAGTAAAAATCCTAGATAACAAATGCATACTTAAAACATGAAGAAAATGTTTGAAAAACTCAGAAGTACACAAATTTCAGAGTATCGTTGATGAAATAGCACTCTGCTAATTAAATTTGCCCGCTAATGTCAAATTCCAAAATACAATCATAAACCACTTAAAGACACACCTAGTTCTTTTCGATTTCTGATACAAGTATATGTCTTTTTCCATCATCTCCGATGGAGTCAAAATTTCACCATTTTTGGCTTTGGGGTGTGATGGAATAAATCAAAATGGATCTCTAAACTATCTGCGCTTCTTTAATTAATGAAGTAGCAGTTAGTCAAACACTGCAACTTTCGATGTTGAGCCGGGGGTCTCTTTGGAAACAGCCTCTCTACTTTCGAGTAGGGGCAAGGTCTGCGTACACACACGCTCCCCAGACCCTACNCTGATACAAGTATATGTCTTTTTCCATCATCTCCGATGGAGTCAAAATTTCACCATTTTTGGCTTTGGGGTGTGATGGAATAAATCAAAATGGATCTCTAAACTATCTGCGCTTCTTTAATTAATGAAGTAGCAGTTAGTCAAACACTGCAACTTTCGATGTTGAGCCGGGGGTCTCTTTGGAAACAGCCTCTCTACTTTCGAGTAGGGGCAAGGTCTGCGTACACACACGCTCCCCAGACCCTACTCTTGTGGGATTTAACTGGGTTGTTGTTGTTGTTGTTGTTTATACAAGTATATGTCTATATAGTTGGAATCCTAAACCAAATCATGTGATGCATACGTGAATCACACAATTTTTCTCAATCTTCGATACAAGCACATATCGGTAGCATTGGAAGATTGGGTCTAATCAAATCGTGCAGCGTGTATCAAAGATTGCATGATACTAAGTTACTAACAGCTGTGATGTAGGAATGATCAATATGATACAACTAATAGAGTACATTAATAGGATCTGATAGAAAAGTAAAATTAGAATACCTGTACAAAAATACAACATCTTCAAGACCCGCAGAACTTTTCTGTTGACTTAATACACTCATGGTGTAATATTTGATCCTTTTCGACTGAAATTTAGAAGACATGAAAAGGGCCTGAGATGTAGTTACAGGTTACAGCCTAGAAACTGAAATCTAATGTCGCAAGTTGTAGCATCATCCTACCTCCAATAAGCATCCACTGTCAAATACCTCTGTCAAGTGAGTACACACAAGAACCTGCAATCAATTCGAGGCTTCTGGTTGGATAAGACTCTTATTTGGCAAAGACATGAAATTGGCACATAATATGAGCAAGAACAGGCTGTGAGTTAAGCCTTTCCGGTAAGGATAATAATAGTCTACAATACTCTGTGTCATTTTATAGCTTATCAATGTAAATAAAAATGTAAAATAGGACATGTCGATTTAAGATGTGTGAGGAGTGAGGACTGATGGTAGATATTTTAAAGAGATGCATCATGAGATTCTCTCGTCAACTGTAAAAGGCAAGATTGAGTGTAGAAAAAGTTGGAAAAAATCAGACGTGTTTCCAAACTCGTGATTTATTTGACTAGTAAAGATTCTAGTGACTGCTTAGCCACCCATAAACAGTTGTGGATCTGATGAGTATTACAAAGTGTTAGACATTGGGATGGTCCAGTGTCCCCAGGTGTTTGCATACCAATTATATTTAGAGGTCATGATGGAACAAACTAACCACTAAGCTAAGGCATTCCCATCATTGAACAAATTCAAATGATGAAAAAGAGCATATATACAGTCAAAGTCGGTGGAAACTAATAATCCCTTTGTCTAGCAATGAAGTTTACGAGACTTTACAGAGTTAAAGAGAAGTGTTGAAAAGTAAAAAGTGTGTGGATGAAACGTGTGTAGAAGAAAGAGAAGTTATAAGCTACAATGCTACATATTCCTTCCCTAAGAAAGAAATGAGAGATGTGTAAAATTTAATTTGGGATGGACAAAAAAAACATGTAAACTTCATTACGGAACCGAGAGAGTATTTCTTTCATTTGTCATGAGTCCCTCATGACAGTAATTTTTTTAAAGAAAAAGAATGAGTCATGACAGTAATTGGAATGTGGAAAAACATAAGAAAGGAGTAGCAGACCTTTGGAAGGTCATAACACGATACAAAATGATTTATAACTCCACCGAGGAGACCAATGCCATCTGACATGAGAAACAAGGTAAGTTATACATATGCTTAACAGTAGAAAACCAAGAGCAGTATTGTTCTCCAAATTGTTGAGTTGTTCCAGTCCAATGCTTAGTATTTGCAGATAGAAATAAGTTTTTTATGTACAACACTGAAGGAGCATATAGCAAATTGATGGATACTGCTACCAGAAGCAACCTTCGGTGAGAGTGCCCTTGCCAAATTCATCCAGCAAGCACAAAGACCGGGGTGTTGCATGCCTAGTGATGTTCACATATATGCATGCATAAGAATGACATAAAGCGCAAATGCAATATAAAGGCAAGTTATCAGATAGGCTGCTATGTACACATAAAATATGTTTAGATTTTACAAAGGCAAATTAATAGGTATGCTGTGGCATACCTATGTTGGTAGGTACAACATGTCAATGATTGTAGTACTGTGTAACACACTAACACCAATTTTTATTTATTTATTTAAGCATTTACAACTATGATGGTCATGTTAAAATAACCTGGACATCATCATAATATAATCTAAACATCATTCTACACATTCTGAACATTCAACCAGTAATTTATGCAAAGCCAGTTTTCTTTGCTTGGTTCTTTCAAACAGATCATTCAGCACTCAAAACTTCTTCACCAACCATCCTTGGTCCCTCAAATTATATTAGTATGCTTACCTTAACATCATTCCCACTTGATGCAGATCAATCATAAATGTTGACTGTTCAGCAGTCATAAACTTGCTTCCCGTTGCACAAAAGATCCTAACATTTAAAGCTTGCAACTTATCAATGCCACTTGATGAAAGAGATAGAAAAAAAACTATTCTTCAAAATCTTCACTAGTTTTCCTACTCGGTGAAAACAATAATTTGGTATTAAGACTTTAGAGAAGAGGTTGCTATTTGGTTTTGATATTATGCATACATGATATTCCGGGGTATATAATAAATGAAACAATTTATACACTTTGGGAAAATAAATCAGTGCCTGTCAGTCAAACCCACTGTGGCTGCCTCAGCCGGTACAAAACTTCCAATGTGGGAAAGAAAAACTATTAAAGCAACCTAACAAAAATTTAAACTTATTAGAATATGATTTGGCATCAATACACCCTAGGAAGATTAAACAGCTACACCACTCACCTGCTTTACATAGATGCTTTTACCAGAATAGTTAGGCCCTGTGATAATATTAACCCTTCCTGGAAAATGGATGACCAAGCAGGAACACAAGTGATGTGTACTGAAAATGGACAATTCTAATGAATATATCTCAGGCTAAGAAGAAATAATTTACCACCTTCATCCAAAATCTTTGTATCATTCGGAATGAATGTATCAACTGTCATTTCCTGTAAAAGATGTCTAAAAAAAATTCCTTATAGCTTCTCATATAAGGAATTCAAATGATCTAAACAAATTTGACGCTGCTGCTACAGTATGCAATATGAAAAAGCTTTTTAAATTCAATGGAACAGACCTCACCTTCCATTATGTATATCAAGAAAATTTTTTGTAGTCAAAGTCGGCCTTACATAATTGTTTTGATAAGCAACCAGTGCTAACGATAAGAGGCTAGAGAAAATGCAATATAATGTCAGAACATTAGACTGAATGCAAAACTTGGTATTTCAGTCAGGAAATTAAGGAAGTAAATTCAATTATTGAAGTCTCACCAATCAAGCTCAGCAGCAAAATTAACAGCATTGTGGATGGGAACTTCAAATTGCAGGACATGTGACACTAGGTCCCTTGTAATTGCTCTCTCCATATCTAAATACAATATAAAGTTAAAACAAAAGATAGGGAGCAATGAAAAAGATATTTGAAAATTATGAATTATTCTTTATATTTTATGTCAAATGGAACAGATACAAGAATATGCATCATTGACCTCATGCGCAAGTAAAACCATACAAAATATTGCTCTTTTGGTAAGAAATAAAGTCTACAAATTGTTATTCAACAGATTTCTATAAATCTAAAGCAAATAGGGATCCCCATTTGGAAATGTTAATCAGTATCAGATTCCCACTAATGCATACCCAGGATTTTATGATATATATCTCCAAGAAGAGTATCCAACTCTCGTGTTTTCGAGGTGCGGTAAAAGAACTTCTTCTTATCTCCATCCTCATCAACAAACTATACAATTTACCAACAGCATTGGCACATAAGAATGTGTTATATCTAAACACAGCAAGTAATCAGTAGTAAACAGTGGCCAATTGGCATACAGCAAACTCAAAATCAGGAGGTTTCTCTTGCATTTCTTCATCAAGTTTTTCATTGAAAATGCAGAGTAAGAAACCTGTAAGTGAACAAAATAAAAGTTTCATAGTTATCAAGAACTAATACTAATCAGGAAGAAAAAAGCATTGCATCAAAAGGCTCATTAAAGTATAAATTTGGTACCAATACATCATCAGCAGATGTGTAAACAAAAACTCCAATGAAAATAAAGAAACATATTTAACTCAGCCCATCATGACAGAACAGCATGGTCACAAAACTGCAGACCTTGTATGCAATGTAGTTTCTATCTCCTTTAAAATTTTGGGAAGGGAAGGGGATTGATACAATTCAGGTGATTATTAATTTTGACAGCTCATACCAATTTATAGGTGGCCAAAGACAAAATTTCCCCATACTTATGATGGCATGCATATTGTATATAATATATGGTTTCTTAAG